AAATTAACCTTAGATCTGGAAAACATTAGAATACAGCGAGGAAGCAGCAGCTGCTCCTGCTGTCGGTGACGCTAACCGTGACCTCGCTGCCATACAGGTGACGGTCCGTGATGCTCTGAACCAGGCGCTGGACGAGGAGCTGGAGAGGGATGAGCGGGTGTTCCTGCTGGGAGAGGAGGTGGCTCAGTATGACGGCGCCTACAAGGTGAGATCAGAACTAGGAAGGTTTGGTTTACAGAACCTCTGAGTTCCCGGAGAGACGCGTCATCTGGAATCAACTTTCATTTTGCTTTCCCAAATGTTCTCAGAAAGTGCAGGGATAAGTGTCTGCTGTAGTTGTTTTAGAGATAAATAAAACTACAGAATTCATCAGAATCTCAACAGAACCGCTTTGTTTATCGTGGTCGATTGTAAGTCTGCTGTGTTTGTTTACAGGTCAGCAGAGGTCTGTGGAAGAAATACGGCGACAAGCGGATCATCGACACTCCGATCTCAGAGGTGAGCGTTGGTGTTGAAAGCTGAAGCTTTGTAAGTGAACGCTCCTCCCAGCTGACTCATGTTCTCTGTGTCTCCGCTGCAGATGGGCTTCACTGGTATCGCAGTCGGAGCGGCTATGGTGAGTCCCGATTACAGCTCGTTTCTCAGCCTTTCAGATGTTCCAGCTTTAAGGTTTTTCGGTCAGATGAAGGTTAATCGTGGCGGTTCCGTTTCCCTCAGGCCGGCCTCAGACCCATCTGTGAGTTCATGACCTTTAACTTCTCCATGCAAGCCATCGATCAGGTCATCAACTCCGCCGCAAAGACCTACTACATGTCAGCGGGGCAGCAGCCGGTACCCATCGTCTTCAGGGGACCCAACGGAGCGTCTGCAGGCGTCGCCGCCCAGCACTCCCAGTGCTTCGCTGCTTGGTGGGTTAAAAAACACCTATCACCTCTGTAGATGGTCCAGAGTGAGCCGTAACATCGGCACCGTACTTTAAATGGTTTTCTGATGGGGTTTTTGTCTCGTCGTCTTCTGGATCTGCAGGTACGCACACTGTCCAGGTCTGAAGGTGGTGAGTCCCTGGAATGCCGAAGATGCCAGAGGTCTCCTGAAAACGGCCATCAGAGATGATAACCCCGGTGAGAAGCCGTCCACGGGCAGCTGCCCTGAGCTCCAACAGTTTTTAGCAACTAAATCCTTGAGGAGGAGGAATTAAACGAGAGGAGAAAATGTCTGCAAGAAGCATCAGACCTGA